CCCTTGAAGGGCGTTCGGAGACTGCAGTTGGTTCAAAACGCAGCCGCGAGAGCGATTGTGGGCGCGCCAAGGTACGCCCACGTGTCACCTATCCTCCGCGAGCTGCACTGGCTTCCTGTGGGCCTCCAGACGCAATTCAAGGTGTTGGTTATCACCTTCAAAGCCCTTCATGGCATAGGGCCAGGTTACTTACAGGACCTCATTCTGCCGCACAGCTCCCAGAGACCGGTGAGGTCCCATAGATTGGGCCTCCTTCAGGTCCCGTCGGCCAGACAATGTCGGCTGGCGGGCCCTCGGGGAAGGGCCTTTTCTGTGGTGGCTCCGACCTGGTGGAATCAACGTCCCCCCGAGGTTCGAACTACTCCCACCCTGCCTGCCTTTAAGAAAGCCGTTAAAACTCTCCTGTTCCGGCAGGCCTGGGGCTGATGTCCCCGGGGGGCCGGGATATGATCGGACTCGCGGTAAGACTGGATTATTTTATTCTTTTATGACTGTTTTTAACCTTGTACGCCGCCCTGAGTCCTTTGGGATTGGGCGGCATATAAATATTTGTAAATAAATAAATTAGTAGACAACAGCAACAACAACGAAGGCAGAAATACAGTATTTAGCTGCCACAGGGAAAGTAGGGTTGACCTCCTAGCACAGTGATAGTAGATCAAATGGAAAAATGAAGTTTGAAGCCTACGGTAAGTAAAATAGGGGGTGGAAATAGTACTCATTCCAATGTCTGTTGACTACCAAACATAATGCTAAACTAAGGTTTTTTAAGCCATAGTTAGTTGAATAAGCTATGATTTGTGATATTAAACCATTACTAGTGAGGCACAATACTTCAGTTACATATGAATCAGCCTAAAGAAGGTCAGGTTTTCAAGAGTTGGCAAAATGTACCCTGGGCAATAATTATATATTGTTGGATATAATTCTGGGATCACAACTCTTATTCTTCCAAGTTAAGAAGCAATACTGGCTACAAACGAGAGGAGATGTATTCTCAGTTTATCTAGAAAATACTTGGTTGAAGAAGGCTGGCTAAAGCCTTATAATTTTGTTCTACCCTGGCCTATCTTTGGTGATCTTAAATACATTTTAGATGGTCATATGTTAAGGAGACTTATAATATTAAGGTTTGTGTAGCATTTAAGACTGTATTCCAAAGAAGAGATTTGGAACATAAAATATCATGAAATAGTATCTATCAGCAGCTCATTAAACTAGCTTGGGAGCATCTGTAAAACAATCTCCATGCAATCCTAGAAATAGCACAACCCCAGTGTAAAGAGTTGCAGGCAGATAAGTTCATGTTCTCATGCACTCCTAAGCATTATTCTGGAACTGGCCAAAAGCACACTGCATAGCCATAATTAATATACATTTTTTTTGTTGCTGTGTACATTCTTGCAGTAATACAAGAGAACTCCCCTGTGTGATTTATAGAGATTGCATCTCCATGTGAATATTCCTCTGTGGAAAACTTTATTCAGGCACATGGAATCTAACCTGCCGGTGTCAACCAGCTCCAAAAGAAATGAGTTAGGTTGAGCAAACAATAAAAAGAAGAGTCTCTGCCCTTGCAAACATTTTGGACCTTTGATCTTTGTCTTTGCAGAGCAACAGCCTGTGATCTTGAAAAGGTCAGACCGTACTTGTACATTTAAACTGAACTGTACTTGCAACATGTGGTTGATAGGTAAAAAAAAAAAAAAGAAGGAAGAGTCTTCAGTCCCTATTGGTTGGTTGGTTGGCTGAAGTTTTATCTCAGCATGTTCCTAACAGAGTATATATTTGAACAGAAATCAAGCACTCTACATTAACAGGATTTACTGGAAATCTTTGAGGTTGTAATTAACTCTTCACTTGCTGTAACAGGGCTAAAGAAACCATGGAGGTTTTAGGAGCAGACGTTTTGGGTGCTATACTCTGTGCAAATGGGTTTCTTAATTATTGGTATCAACAAACTACTCTGTTAGCACAGGAAAGTTAAGTTTCAGACTTGGGCTTTCTCTAAGAAAGACATATATGCATATATATATATATATATATATATATGTTTTCTGAGGTTTTCGCGGGTATTTGTATATAGGTCTTTGGTTGTTCGGGTTTTCTCCCGCGTAAAATTGGAAGTGTCTTGGCGACGTTTCGACAAAGTCCCATTCGTCATCTTCAGGCTGGTGTTTTCAGCTTCGTGCTTTGAGCAGCAATGTGTGGTCTTAGCTGTTTCTTCCTTTTAACTGCCAGTGGGGGTATGAACTGATTGGGTGGGAGCTTGGCTGTGTTCTGATTGGGTGGAGGTGTGTTCTGAATGGTTAGGGGCTTGGCTGTGCTCTGATTGGCTGGGGGAGTGTTCTGTTTGGTTGTGCTCAGGTTAGTCTGAGTTGCAGAGGGGTTTAAGATGAAAACACCAGCCTGAAGATGACGAATGGGACTTTGTCGAAACGTCGCCAAGACACTTCCAATTTTACGCGGGAGAAAACCCAAACAACCAAAGACCTACATACAAATACCCGCGAAAACCTCAGAAAAATATATATATATATATATATATATATATATATATATATATATATATATATATATATATATATATATATATGTCTTTGGTTGTTCGGGTTTTCTCCCACGTAAAATTGGAAGTGTCTTGGCGACGTTTCGACGAAGTCCCATTCGTCATCTTCAGGCTGGTGTTTTCAGCTTCGTGCTTCAAGGAGCAAAGCTGAAAACACCAGCCTGAAGATGACAAATGGGACTTCGTCGAAACGTCGCCAAGACACTTCCAATTTTACGTGGGAGAAAACCCGAACAACCAAAGACCTACATACAAACACCCGCGAAAACCTCGGAAAACACACACACACACACACACACACACACACACACACACACACACACACATATATATATATATATATATATATATATATATATATATATATATATATACCTTAAGTGTGCACCCTGTCAGCCCAAATATGGGAGAAAGAAATCTTCTTTCTTTTCTTTTCTTTTGCCTGTATCAGCTCAATCCAGAGCCATCCACAAGCAGCAGTCGCCAACTGCGGCATCATTTTGCATTTTTAGGTTGCTAACAAAGAATAAAGAGAGAACTGGGATAGCTATTTCGAGTTCCTTTAACTCTCTTCAGCCAGACTTACTCTTCTGAGATTCGAACCTGGGCTATATGCATGTTAGGCATATATACGCTTCATTTTATAAATCATATTTTGGAAAGAAAAAAAAAGTTCCAGGAGAACTATACTGGTGAAACCACAGATGATAGCTCTTAATTCAAAGTCATAGAAAATTAGCTTTTCCAATTAATTCCTCCTATCAGTTTATGTCCAAAGCTATGCTGGTTGAGTAATATTGGGATTGTAGTCCAGTACATCATGGGTACCAGAATGGAGAAGAGTGATGAGGAACAACCTCTGGTTTCTGTGTTTTTCAGTGTTTATTTAGCCATGTTTCCCTGAGTTCATGCACTGTTTTCAGCCAGAAATCAAAGATGTACTCCTTGTGAGAAATCATATGCTATAATGCAGCCTCTTGATTTTTCACAAAGTTGCAGATGCCTGCCTGACCACACAATGACATCCTTGGAAAGGGACGAGGCTGCTTTTTTTGGTCTATTTTTCTTTTGGGAGGAGATTCTTTGAGGTTGGTCATTTTTCAAAGTCCTCTTGTTATGATTCCCATCCTAATCAGACTAAAAGGACACTTAGAAAGAAACGGGTCGCTTTCACATCCTTAAAAATCCCTACTTACTCTCAAAAATCCAACATTGTGGCATCTAAACTTAATAATTTTGCCAGTCAATTTTGATGGGAGGATCTTAGGTGGTTACAGTCTTTGTTACCCAAACCTGCCAAAAATCGCCACTAAAAACTGTGGATACATTTTTAACTCGGTGGTTTTCTTGCAAATGTTTCATTACCAAACTAGGTAACATCATCATTGTTAAGAAGGAGGGATTCATATGTCTGCTAAGTCATATCTAAAGAAATCATATTATATATTAATGAGCTTGTCAAATCAGGCCATAAATATTTTCCATATATGACAAGGCCTACATAAATTTAATGTATAATTTGGGTCTGTATTTTGGATTCTAAACTCATTTTTACTGAAAAGAACTACCTGAGACCACAGATCAAACGCATAATACACAACCATTTTAAAATCTTCATGGGGCTAGGTTATTATTTTGAATATGGCAACAGAGGAGAAAATTAAATCTACTAAGAATGAACTTTTGAACTGTGTTTCATAATATTTAAAATTAAATCAAATTAGATTTTGTTGTGATCCTGACTGACTTCTTTGGTATTTAGACCTTAGAAGAACTTTCAAATACCAGGTGCATCACTTCATGCAACAAGTAGTTGAACATCATTGATTTATATCTTTCATTCACTTTTTTTTTTTTTTTTTTTTTTTTGCAAACTTAGTTTGCAATGCTAGAACTGCTGATACCTTCATGGAAAGCTAAGAGAGTTGCAGGAAACTCTATTTAGCTCTTCTCTGAGTTACTACTGAAAATTGTTAGTAGGATTTGTAATCTCAACAATATTTCAATATCTAGAGTCCTGAATCCTGTGCTCCCTGCACATGTGAAGCTTTTCAGATCTCTCCTGTGTGTGGTTCATTTCTCTTTGCATAAGAGAGTCCATCAAACAGAGGCTCTTCAGAGTTGCAATCCATGAATGGCTGGTATTAAAGAAAAAGTCAACAAATTAAGTCCAACTCTACTTAGAAACATTCTTTGTGCATGGAAGTCTCTAAATCCTACTCAATACATATAAAGCTGAGTGCAAATTGCCTTTTGGAATTCTTCACCAAATTCAGCAGCAGAGAAATTGAATAGGCAATTATTCTGAACTTTTCTAGGAAAAAGGGAGTTTCTCAAGGACAGGTCTTCCCTTAGTAATGGCAGTTGAGTTACCATTGAAAAGCCCAAAATGAGTTCTCTCATTACATCATTTCTTGGGTTTTAATAGAAGTATAGAAGATTACTGTTGGAATACAGTGAAAGTGAGGTCATTGATATGCTCATCAAAAAGAAATAATTGTTCCTCTCCATTCTTCATTAATCAATCTACATTCAGAACAATGTGTCCAGTTTTGGGCGCACAGCTTAATAAAGATATTGACAAAGTAGAGCATTTCTAGAGAAGAGCAATTGAGATGATAAGGGAGCTGAAAGGAAAACCATATGAAGAATGGTTGGAGGCATCAGATGAGTTTAGTCTGGAGAACAAAAGTCTGCAGAAACTTGAACTGTCTTCAGAAGAATATAAGCAGATCAATTGCCCATGTAGTCCTGCAGTCTAATTTCAGAGTGGCCAACAACTGCACAAGGAAGTTCACTAATTTCTCAGCAGATGGCCTTCATAGCCAGTCACATGTGGATAGTACGGGTGGATGCAAGAAGGGGGGTGAGGGGCTGGGTGGGTTTTATGGAGTGTAGAGAGGAGCTATGGAGGGCAGTATCCTCCTATCACCCAGGGAAGAACAACTTGCAGGAGCAACTTACTGTGTGACTTCTCTCAGATTTTCCCATTGATTTTGCTTATGGGATGCTGGCAGGGAAGGTCACAAATGGTGATCACATGATTGTGGGACACTGCAATGTTGCAATTGTGAGCTGGTTGCCAAACTCCGAATCACAATCACATGACCACAATCACGTGAGATGTTGCAACTGATGCAACTCTGAAGCCTGTCATAAGTGCCCCTTCAACTTTGAATGGTCATTGAATGGATGTAATGTGAGAACTATCTCTATCTGAAAGACCATCATGTAAAAGAGGGATAGAATTAGTCATAGTTGTTCAGAAATCAGGACAGAAAACAATGGTTTATTTACAAGGAAGTACATTGCAGCTGGGCATCAGGAAAAAATGTCTGAATGATAAGAACTGTTCAACAATGGAACAGACCTGCCTTAGGAGGTGGTTGATCTTCCTTTGTTAGATGTTCTTAAGAGAATCTTAAGAGAATGTGGGTGGCCATTTTGAAAACAAATTTCATACAGCTGAAATAGACAAAAAATGCAGATTTCTGTACCAGAAGCTTATTGTTTACAATGGTTTACAACGCTATTTGGATTTTTAAGAATCTATGTTCCTAGATGATTATGCATCTAAATTAAAATGTTTATTGTATCATTTAACTGGAGATTAGTTGGCAATTATTCCTGTTGTGGTGTTGACATTCAAGCACCTCCATGAAGCTCAGTCCAGATGTAAGGAGGTCCCGGATCACCATGAATTCCTTTCTCCCTATAAAGAAAAGGCTACATGAAATATTTCATTTGATCAGTCATACAGTTAAGTACAGGTAGTCCTCGACTTACAACAGTTCATTTAATGACTGTTCTAAGTTACAACAGCACTGAAAAAAGTGACTTATGACCATTTTTTACAATTACAATCTTTGTACCATCCCCATGATTGTTTGATCAAAATTCAAATGCTGGACAACTGGTTCATATTTAAGACTGTTGCTGTGTCCCAAGATCATGTGATCACCTTTTGTGACCTTCTGACAAGCAAAGTCAATGGGGAAGCCAGATTCACTTAACAACCATGTTACTAATTTATCCACTGCAGTGATACACTTAACAACTAAGGCAAGAAAGATCATAAAATGGGGCAAAACTCACTTAACAAATGTCTCACTTTACAACAGAAATTTTGGTGTCAATTGTGGTCATACGTTGAGGACCACCTGTACAGACTGGACAGAAGCAGCAACATATTTAGATGGAAAAATGTCTACAGGTTATGATTAAAAAAAGTCAAGATGATAATAATCAGAGCTACACCATCTTGATTCTTTGGACTGTATCCTGTGGGCACCCCCATTGGGATAATTACTTCGAATTAAATACAATTTCTGCCAGATCAAGCACTCTTTTTGTGTTTGCCTGAGTGTTTGAGCTGCCAATACTAAATCCTATGCCTGTGCAAAAGCAGTTTGGGGGGGGGGAGGTTATTGGCCTCACTTTAGGCCAGGGGTCTTCAAACTTGGCCCTTTTATGACTTGTGGACTTCAACTCCCAGAATTCTTCCACCAGGCACGCTGGCTGAGGAATTCTGGGAGTTGAAGTCCACAAGTCATAAAAGGGCCAAGTCTGAAGACCCCTGCTCTAGGCTTTGAGTTAGATCAGGAAGTTGTTAAAGCTTATTGGACAGCATTGTCTGCTATGGTGGGGTTGGAGATCATAAAAGACAAGACAGTGGCAAATGCACCCCTTTATCAATGTGTACTGTCAATGTTAATACAACTGCAAAAGAGGTGAGGCTGCCATCTTGCCTTTTTTGACCTCTCCAGAATATGCTGAGCTTAGATATGGACAATGGCAAACTACTTGTATTTTATTGCCAAAAACTATACAAATGTATCCATGAAGCCATCAGAAGGTCAGCTTGCCCTCAAATAAATAGTTTTGTTTTTTTTTTAAAAAAAATTTTTTACTTATCACACTTACCAGGGCCTTTGGCTTCCCTCTTCCTTGGGAAGCTAAAGACCCTGGGACAGAATCTTATTAAATCCTTATCATTATACCCTGGTAACTCTGAAAGGTAGAAACTTTCCAAATCACCCACAGAGATAGATATATTCCTCTCTTTCTCTCTCTCTCTCTCTCTCCCTCTCCCTCCCTCTCTCTCTCTCTCTCTCTCTCTCTCTCTCTCTCTCTCTCTCTCTCTCTCTCTCTTGCTATTGACTCTATCCATGGTTTTACTAAATGATATTTTTAATGCATAGTAAACCATTCTCTTTTCATGAACTCTTTTACCCCTCAAAGTGAGACTGATGTTTGTTTTAACAAGTGTTCTTTTCTTCTTTTATTTTAAAGAAGCTGTCTGGGATCAAGTCTGAAAAGCTCCTGCAATATTGCTGTCTCTGTGTCTATTCACAGCTGTTCTTGTCTTCACCCTCCCTCATCTCCCGCTTCCAATAATTAAATGAAAACAAGCTGGAAGATCACAATTAGTGGAGGAAGGAATGGTTCTTTGAAGAAGAAGAAAAAGAAATGATGATCCCTGTTAGTTGGCCATATTTGGCTGAGAATTTCTGGGTCAATCATTCCCAATCCTAGCAAGTTCTAGGTGAGTGGACCTACTCCTAGTATTCTCAATGGCTGTGCTGGCTGTTGTATTCTAGAAATTGAGGTTCACCCTCCTGGAAATTGTCAATGTTGGGAGACACTGTTTTGAACCTTTCATTTCCCATTCAGACTGTGCCAAGGAAAACACTGATCTTGACCAACGGCTGTTTCACATTTGCATTCTTAAATCAAAGAAACAGAATTGGAAGGAACCATTCCAATTCTTCATGTCCAACTCCTGTTCTGAGCAGACATCTAGAATCAAAATGTAGGAGAAGAACTGCATTAGTCAAAAATCAGGAGTCTGGTAGCATCTAACCAATTTTATTAAAAGGAAGCTGATTTGTTTTTGCCCTTTGAAATCCAAGTTCAGATACCCTTTAAACACATTCAGGGAAAAAAAGAAATCCACCATTTGGGGTAACTGGTTGCACTGTTGAACTGCTCTTCTGTAAAGACCGTTTCCCCCAACGTTCAGTCAGAATCTGCTTTCCTGTACTTAAATCCATGATCCTCTCTGTACATTATCCAGGAATGGTGGAGAAGAGGTCTTGACCTTTCTGTAATATAGTTTTAGGTATTTAAACAGTATTGTCCAATTTCTTCTCACTGGTCTTGTTTCAAGGCTCAATATTTTGGTCTTTCCATCTCTTCTCACCCCCCCCCCCCCAGAGCTCCTCTCTGAAAGAGATTAATTAATATCTTAGTTTCCAGGCCTCTGATCATCTTTGGTGCCTTTCTTCAAATCTCTTCCAGTTTCCCTGAATCTTTCTTAAAGTACGGTGTCCAGAACTGAACCCAATACTGGAGAAGGGATCTGCCCAGTGAAAAAGAAAATGGACTGGAGACTGAAAACTCTTTGATACCAGCACAAACTTTAAAAAAAAACCATAGTTTTCTTTTATATATAGCCACCTCACACTACTCATTTATATTCACCTTGTAATACATTACTGTTCCAAAACTAGTATCACAAATGTATCATTGATGGATTGACACAAGTCTATAGAGCAGTGATGGCGAATCTTTTAGAGACCGAGTGCCCAAACTGCAAACCAAATCCCACTTCTGCATTGTCAGGTGCTGGGTGGGTGTGGCCCATTGGGTGGGTGTGGCCCATTGGGTGGACATGGCTGCGGTGGTAACAGCAGAGTAGGTGGGACTAAAAAGTTCAATCAATCAATTCCAACTTTGCAAGATCTTTTTTTTCCCGCGACAAGTTGAAATTGACTGATTGATAGAACCTTTTTTTTTTTGTACATGGCAGCAGAGGCCTAAAGCGAAAAGGTTTTATAAAACCCAGCTGAAGGCCTAGGACTAGGGCGATGGCACAAGTGCCCACAGAGAGGGCTCTGAGTGCCGCCTCTGGCACCCGTGCCATAGGTTCGCCACCACTGGTCTAGGAAAAAAAACCTCAGCATTTTTTTTAAAGTTAGGATTCTTTCAATCTTCCAATCTATCTCTCTGTCCTAGGATTTCCTGATACTCTCTTGCAATGATGTTCATCATTCAGTGGCTAACAAGATCTGGTCCTGCTTAGTTGTTCTGAGATCAGCCAGGATCCACTACTAGCAGCTACCATCTGTTATATTGTCTTCTGGTACGTGGCCCTACCCACTTGCTGACTTTTTTTGTGAGTGCTCCACAAAACTTTCTTTGCTGTGCTGATTTTCTTCTGCATTTTGACGCAACATCTGGCTTAGTAAAGCGCTCTGTAAATGCATTTTGTCCTCTCTGTTTTGGCTTCAGAGGGCAGAAATGAGTTAATTCAATTTGACTGTATGGTCTGAATAATAACCAAAGGCAACTTTGCAAACTTGACTTTGGAAAGATGCAGCTAGAATTTGGCTTAGTGATGCAGACAAATTTAGAGCCGGATCCAAATGGCTTTTCCAAATTCTCCACCAGATGTGTGGGCAGAGGGACTGGGGAAGAGAACATTTCTCTGAATTTATCCAGGGGAAAGAGAAATTCTCAGATTATTGCTCAAGGACAGGAATCTGATTTAGTACTTACTGGTCGTACCAGTGCTTAAAAAAACCCGGAAGAGCTGTGTCATCATGCTGTCTTCTCTTGGGATTTAATGGAAGCATAAATCCCTTACCATTTAACCCTAAAAGCAGCTGCAGACTGCTAGGCTGATTATAGCACAATAGAAGTCAGGACATTCGAACACATTTCTCAGTTGTCTTGTCCCTGAATAAAGGCAAGAACATCCTGCTCTGTTCAAAAGCGTAAAATTCTCTTCTCTGAAAGACTTTTGAAAGCATATTTTCTTCTATTCAACGGAACAAGGGGGAAAACTTGCGGAGAAATTTTCTACCATTGCAACAGCTGCAATTACACAATTCCCCTAACCACACTCTCTGGGAGGTACCATATCTTGATCTATACTCTAACCAAACAGGCTGGATTGCATTACACACTAGGCCAAGTAAAGCTCACCAGTGTTAACACTAAGGATGCTTAGCATTTTATGTCAGGACTCAAAAACCTCAGGCTTTTCCCCACAATCACTATAATATATTTGCTAGCCATTCATGAGTTGGGAAATAAGTTGTATTGCCCACCCCCAATTTTTATAGTGTCTCAACAATGGGCAGTGTTGCTGTACTCACACAATTTAAGGCAGCATAGTTTCAGGGCAGTGATTGGTAGAACCAGGTTAGCAGGAAAACTAACCACTTCCCTTCTCTCAAGTTGGCATGTGTGCCAAGCTTTAATTTTTTTTTTAATATTCACCTATTTAGTCTTAATTTTTCATCATTCATTATGTGTTTCTTCTGACACAGTATCGATCTTCCAGTAAATTGATAGTCTTATTACAGAAGTTCAATATACCCATATTTATCTCAACCCCCCCTCCCCGCCATTCTGAATGACTGATTTCAAGAACTGTGATTTGAAATATAAAGCAGAAAAAGGCCCACTCAGAGAGCTCTCAGTGCTGCTTTGCCTCAGGATTTTTGTCTCCTTTCTCTCTCTTAAAACCAGTTTCCTCCATTAATTATTTTTGGCCAGCAGAGCACTTCTTTTCTCCCCTGTTCCATATTTTTGTGTATATATGTATATGTTGGCTGGAAAGCTGGCAGCCCAGGTTTGAGACTCAAGCGCCATGCGACAGGGTGAATTCCCATCAATGCCCCAGCTCCTGCCATCCTAGCATTT